AAAGTGTAACAAATTTGGTATAGATTTCAAATTTTCAATAAGATTTAGGGTATACAAGCCAATTTTCCCTTGTTTTTACTTCAATTAAGGAAGCTCGGACCCACATACATAGAGAGATTTTCGGAGGAATGCTACTTAGATTTTCTACACCTCTCTTTTTCCCTTAAAATCATTCAAAAACGTTACTAATAAATAATCTGAAAAATTCAAGAAATATAATAAAGAATAAGAATGTACAAAGAATACCGCTTTAATTCACTCGGCTGAGAGAATGAGATGTACGGGCCAAAGGCTTTAAAAAATTGTGTTGATGTCACACGTATGTTGCCAATACATATATTCTCAAGATGCTTTTTGTGAGACATGTAATTCTATGGAGATAGTATGAATCCATTAGAAATGGAAAATCAATCATATAACAAAATATGCATAGGTTCTTCATATTCAAATTTTGTTTTTTTCTTATGAATTCTTCACATATACAAGTTTTATGTAAGATCATAACTCATAAGAATGTTACTGATACGTGTAAAGCTTTGTACAATCCATTGAAGATGATCGTCGATATTGAACTTGTCAGCATCCAGACGCCTTCACCGATGAGTCATTTAGTCTATCGTATAAAAATAGCTACTTTTGAAGTATGTTATAAAATGTGAACAGAATGTTTCAATTTTGATATAACCGGGAACTTGGTAAGGGGTCTCACTCACATCTTCACAAGAGACATTTTCTCTTTTCGAGATTCTATACTGAAAGTTGAGTTTGTTTATTTTCAGAAATTAAAAATATCTTTGCTCAGAATCCTTTATAAATAGACAGCATAACCATCCTTCATTTTATCATTACAAAGCAAAACAAACTAACACACAAAGCATTCTCTTACAATCACTTTCGACCAAAATGTGTCAATCCGCAGTCAAAGCTTCGTACTGGTTCCCCTCTCCTGACTTTCCGGCTACTGAGATTGACTCATCTCTCTTCACTCACCTCTTCTGCACTTTCGCCGATCTTGACTCTGAATCCAACCAAATCACTATCGCCCAATGGAACCAATCTGAGTTCCACTCTTTTACAACCACCGTCCAACAGAGAAACCCTTGCGTGCAAACCCTCTTGTCAATAGGCGGTGGAAACGCTGACAAATCCGCGTTTGCGTCCATGGCAAGTAACCCCAGCTCCAGGAGATCGTTCATTGACTCGACAATCAGCATTGCTAGGTCGTACGGCTTCCACGGCCTCGATCTAGACTGGGAGTACCCGAGAGATGCAGCAGAGATGAGCGATTACGCGACGCTATTGCAGGAATGGCGATCTGCGGTTTTGGCTGAGTCCAGTAGCACAGGCACACCGCCTTTGCTATTGACGGCTGCGGTTTATTACTCTTCGAATTACCATGGGGTATTGTACCCGGTTGTCGCCGTTGCTAACACCTTGGATTGGGTTAATCTTATGGCCTATGATTTTTACGGACCAGGTTGGTCCGAAGTGACGGGTCCACCCGCCTCTCTGCGTCTTCCGACTGCAGGTATACATCGATAACCAAACAAAGAATTGACTCTCTTTTTTTATGTCGAATTGAGTTTTCTTAGAGCAGACATGAAATGAATATATATATACCGTACATAAATTTT